TCCCGCCCCACCCTCCGCCCTCACTCCCCACCCACTGTCCTCATCCATAGGTGCACGATTTTTGTCCAGTCTCTTCCCGAATCTCCCACACCCCTTTCCCCCCCAGGAATAGTCAGTCCATTCCCTTTCTATGTCCCTGATTCTATTATAATCAACAGTTCATTCTGTTCATCAGATTATTTATTCACTTGATTCTTAGATTCACTTGTTGATAGATGCATATTTGTTGTTCATAATTTGTATCTTTACCTTTTTCTTCCTCTTCCTCTTCTTAAAGGATACCTTTCAGCATTTCATATAATCCTGGTTTGGTGGTGATGAACTCCTTTAGCTTTTCCTTATCTGTGAAGCTCTTTATCTGACCTTCAATTCTGAATGATAGCTTTGCTGGATAAAGTAATCTTGGTTGTAGGTTCTTGGTATTCATCACTTTGAATATTTCTTGCCACTCCCTTCTGGCCTGCAAAGTTTCTGTTGAGAAATCAGCTGACAGTCGTATGGGTATTCCCTTGTAGGTAACTGAGTTTCTTTCTCTTGCTGTTTTTAAGATTCTCTCTTTATCTTTTGCTCTTGGCATTTTAATTATGATGTGTCTTGGTGTGGTCCTCTTTGGATTCCTTTTGTTTGGGGTTCTCCACGCTTCTTGGACCTGTAAGTCCATTTCTTTCACCAGGTGGGGGAAGTTTTCTGTCATTATTTCTTCAAATAGGTTTTCAATATCTTGCTCTCTCTCATCTTCTGGCACCCCTATAATTCTGATGTTGGTACGCTTGAAGCTGTCCCAGAGGCTCCTTACACTATCCTCGCATTTTTGGATTCTTTTTTCATTTTGCTTTTCCGGTTGGGTGTTTTTTGCTTCCTCGCATTTCAAATCATTGACTTGATTCTTGCGCTCCTCTGGTCTGCTGTCGGGAGTCTGTATAATATTCGTTATTTCAGTCCGTGTATGCTTAATTTCTAGTTGGTTCCCCAATATAAGATCGAGGGTCTCATTAGTTTTCTTGTAGATCTCATTAAGTTTATCGGCGGCTTCTAAACAGTTCTTAAGAGATCTTAAAAGTGTGGTTCTGAACTCTATATCTTCCATTGACAATTTTGTCCTGTTTCTTTGTCTCCGCATTTTGTTATGCTTCCTTGGTGCACCCCCTAGTGGTCTTTGTTCGCAGTCTTATAGTTAAATCTTGATTGTTGTAGCTAATTCCAGGGAGGGTTTGACCTCCAGGCCAAGTGGCTATGAGAATCAGCTGTGTCAGCAGTGAGAGAACTTCTGTCCTCTAGGGAGGTGCTAATCTAGCCTTTGCCTGAGGCTATCCGGCAAATGCCTGTGTGCAGGGCTTGGGCGGGGCGGGTCGCACAGGATCAACAGGGTGGGGCGGAGAGAGCAGTTATGGCGGCTCTCAGTCCTGTCCCCAGGGGCTCTGCCTCTCTGAGTCCCAGCACCCGCTGCAAACCTCGGAGAGAAAGCTGCACTCGCTCTGACCGAAGCCAGACAGTCCCGTTTCTCCCGTTTGAGTCTGGGTCCCTAAAGACTCGCCCGTATCTGGAGCTCAGAGTCTGCGACTCCCTCCCGATTGAAAATGCCAACCGCGCCCTCCGCCGCCAGCCCGCTCCGCGCACTCCGCACCTCAGAATTTGACTTCAGCACTGCGCCTCCTCTGAGTGTCCGTATGCGTTTCTCTTTCCTCCTAGTTGTAGGACTTCCACTCAGCCGGCGTTCCTGTGGTTCTGGGTGCTGTCCCTTCCGTTTTTTGGTTTCACTTTTGAAGTAGTTGTTCAAAGCAGCAAACTCCGGCGTTAACCTATGCCGCCATCTTGGTTCTCCGACTGGTTTTTGCAACTTTACACTTTGTGTATGTGTGTGTGAAAGCGAGTTTACTTGTGAAGCAGTGAGATACACAATGGGCTACTCCTCATGGTATTGGAAAGGGTACCTGGCCCTGAACCAGCCTAAATAGGACCAGCCAGGAGTGTGTGGGTTTTTGACTTCATACAGGAAAGAATTCACAACACGAGTCCAGGAGAATTTTAGAAGACACTTATAAACAGGGAAGGGTTGGGGAAATGAGCCTAGGCTGGGCTGCTTTGGCTAAGAAGTCAGAGAAAAGGGGGCCTTGGGGACAGGCTGGGGGGGGGGGGCAGGGACGGGGTGTACCTGACATGAATGGGCACTGCCCACTGCTGCCCTGGTTGCAAGCCTCATGGGGTCCCTTAGAGTTTAGAAGATGTCTGATTGTGGGGGATGGGTGAGGGGGAAGGCTCAGGTGTGCTCCTGGGAAGCAGAGCATTCCTTTTACACTTTATAATTGTATGCTGGGGCAGTGTGGATCAGCTGGTTGAGTGTTGTCCTGTGCACTGAAAGGTCGACAGTTTGATTGCTGGTCAGGGCACATTCCCAGGTTGTGTATTAGATTCACAGTTGGCATGGGTACGGGAGCCAACTGACACATATTTCTCTCTCACATTGTAACCAGTCAGTGTTTTCTCCCACATCAATGTTTCCCCCCCCTCTGTCTCCCTCTCCCATCTTCTCACTCTAAAATCAATAAAAAATACATATTTTTTTAAAGTATGAGATATTTTTCCTATTTTCTATGTCGATCTATTTCGTGTATTGTTTTGAAATATTCAATGCCTCTTCAATGTAAAAAATGAGATATATTTGTGGTACACTGTTTTTGGAAGGATCAGTGATGCAATGCTTTTATTTTGTGAAAATTTTATAATTGAAAAGAATTTGTAATGGATTCTCACACCTTTCCCTGGAGAAATGGGGAATATCAAATATAAATATTACAGATAAAACCAGAAAAGGAGCGATAAAACCACCTGTCTCCTGGTAGCTGCAAAACAAACACAAATATGCCATGCTCCTGGGAACAGAAGATCCCAAGAATTAAAATGGGGTCATGGCAGGGGGCAGGGCCTCTCCTGTGAGGTGTGTTCTCCCCAAGGCAAGGGGTTTCCTCTGTGGGGGGCAGTTTGACAGACATGAGCAGAGCAATGACCATGGGCCAGCCCCAGGCCCAGAAAAGCAGCAAAACCAGAAAAGCAACACCACAGCTGACCTCAGGACCAGCTGCATTGAATAATGACCCCCTGCCCAGGTGAGGACCAATCAATCAGTGGAGACCCTGACCTTGAAGGACATACTTAGGAAGCTGATGTACATTCTATTGAGATCCTCCCCTGGGACCTCCCTAAAGTCTCCACCTTTAAAACCCTGGGCACACAGGACCCAGCACACTCTCCCTCCTGGGAGCCAGCTCCTGCTTTGCCCTTCTCTCTCCCCTTCCCATCCCAGAGGTGGTTCACCTTGACCTTCCTCACTTCTAAGCTCCAGGGACCCAACATTTGCCTCTACAAGTTGTTTCCTAAGCCCATTTCTTCTACCTTTGTGATTTTCTGAACAAATGTTCTTTTATAGTTTGAAAAAAAGTAAACCAGGATCCTGAGACAGTCTAAGAACCATTGTTATGGTCACACTACATGAGGAAGACCTGACTCAAAATTTGGTCCTGGTGTCAAGACTGCTAGTGGCACAAACACAGCAAAAGGGTATGAAATGGTTTATTACTCACTTCATGAGGATTTATGTGGACAGGACGGTGACTACAGGTCCAAAAATGGCTGGAGAGAAGGGAGAAAAGCAAGTAGCTTGGGGTTTTTGGTTGGTTGGAGAGGCTCTGGGGGGGCAGTTCCTCTGCAGGCAGAGTCTGAGTTAGAACCGCCACCCACCTCTCTGCCTTGTGAGGAAGCACTGAGGCTGTCTGCATGGCTTGCCCAGATGCGTGTCTTTGGGCAGGAGGGTGCAGGGGAGGCAAATGGTGAAGCCAAGGGGGTAAGGATTAAAAGACATCGGCACAGCCCTTGATGGTGTGGCTCAGTTGGTTGAGTGTCACCCCATACACCAAAGGTCACCAGTGTGACTCTCAGGGCACATAGCCCGGTTGTGGGATTGACCCCTAGTTGGGTTGCAGTGGGCCAATGGATGATTTTCTTTACATCCATATTTCTATCCCCCCTCACTCACTCTCTCTTCAAATCAATACAAACATTTTTTTAAAAAGACATCAGCAATCAACAGAGATGGACACATGCCTTTTATTACAAGCACTCTCTATTAACACAGGAAGAGAGTAGATCACATGGAACAGATGACAAGGCGGCTCATCATTCATCTTTGCCTATACACATTACGAGTGATTTTGAAGAAGGTCCTAGGCACAACAGGGCTTAAGTTTTTCTGCAAAACTTTCACTGAAAGTATACAAATGCGATCTATTTCTCAAATTATAAAATGAAACTTCTCCCAACTCATAGTCCAGAAAAATGCCTATCCATTCCCAGTTGCCTGAATCCCATGTGACAGATGTATTAGTCCAGAGCTGAAGCTGCCAGCAGCCATTTCTTGAGGATGGTGGCATAGGAGTATTCTTGGGGAAAGATTTCTTACACACGCCTAAGGACCATGCCCCTGTGCCTCTTACTTCTACCTGCCAAAAATGCCTGCCAGCATCAAATCCCTCAGAACTCAGGACAGCTGGGTAAGAAGTGCGTGTCTGAAGATTATGAAGACCAAATGATGTCCAATAGATCACACTTTTTCTATCTCTTGAGATAATGAGACTTGGATGGGCTGTTTCAGGATCCAGTGTCAAATCTACCTAAAACGTGCCGATCATTTTATGCAGGCCCAAGTAATGTGGGGAGAGAGGGCAACTCTCCTTCTTTAATTCATACAAAAAGATAGTGGGGTCTCTAGTTTTTCATACCTGTTGTGGATACTTTCTTTTTTTTTTTTAAATATATTTTTATTGATTTTTTACAGAGAGGAAGGGAGAGATTTAGAGAGTTAGAAACATCGATGAGAGAGAAACATCGATCAGCTGCCTCCTGCACATCTCCCACTGGGGATGTGCCCGCAACCCAGGTACATGCCCTTGACCGGAATCGAACCTGGGACCTTTGAGTCCGCAGGCCGACGCTCCATCCACTGAGCCAAACCGGTTTCGGCAATACTTTCAATACCAGTGGATAAATCCACGTTTGTCTGCAAACAGTTACTGATAATATCACTAAGCAGACTGTTTAATATGGAACTGTGGTTTGATATTTGGTTTTTCTCTTCAATTAATTTTCTTGAACATTTGTTTCTTCATTTAGCAAACTAATAAGCCTTGCAATCTGTCCCTTTTCCAAGAAATGTTTAAGTTGTTTAACTTCAGAGTGCAATTCATCCTTTTCATTTTCTATCTTCTGTCTCAATTCGAAACATTTCGACATTTGCATTTCTGACCGAATTTCAGTATCTTTAATCTGCTCGCTCAAGGACTCAATATAGCTCTTGAGCTTCCTCCTGTGAGTAGCTGCAGCTTCTTCAACGGGCATCAGGGGGTGATCCCCGTGATCAGAGGAGACCCTGCACTGGGCACACAGCAGCTCCAGGTCCTTCTCACAGAACCAGGCCAGACCCTCACGGTGCTTCTTACACAGGGGTTCCTCTTGCCTTTTCCTCTTTCCCCTCATGCCGGGAATCTGCTGAACAATCTGTCATGTGACATAATTGGGTGTTCCTCTTAAAGCTCCTGTCAGGGCAGTGGTGGAGGTAGACAGGACAGGGAAAGGTGCACTGTAGGTCTTCCCAGCCCTGCTGGATGCAGGAGGGACAGAAGTTGTGCCCACACTCAGTGGTCACTGGGTCTCTCAGGTAATCCAGGCAGATGGGACAGCTGGCCTCTGCCTGGAGCTCAGCCAGGGCGGCTGCAGACTCCATTGTGCAATGAAGGTGTCTGTCCCAAGACAGTCTCTTCAGTCAGTGTGATCCTCCAGGAGTGAAGAAAAGTGAGAAACTGAGGTCTGCTCAGGCCTCCCTCCCTGTGGTGTCCAAGAAGAGTTCCAGTCACCAGTAGATGTCCAGTCTTCTTGCCACCCTCTCCTGTATTTAACACCACTTTGCACAAGGGATGTAGAGTGTTCCTGGTCAAAAAACAAGGGCAATCCAAGTCATGTGTGGTTTCTGTGGACAACATGATATTGCCATTTAAAGGACCGTTCAAGCAGAAGTAACATCAGGTAAACAAAATCATTTATCATGAAAACATCTAAGGAGATGTTTGCAATGGATTCTAAGATCTATTTTGCAACTCTAAAGGAATTAATCAATTAGAGAAATTTATCATTGGCCTTAACTATCACAAAAAGAGTGACAGATATCATAGAATTGTTGAAGGGATACCATAACATTACTTGTGAATAATAGTTTTCCAGAAAAATGAACCTAAATATCTTCAAACATGTTCCAAACCAGCTACTTAGATGAAATATAAGGGATCGAGAAATATGTGAAGAATTTCCTTCACATGTTTGAATTTTAGTATGCCAGCTTGATTGGTCCCCTGCATAGTCAGGTAGCAGGTGAAACACTAGTTCTGGGTGTGACTGTGAGATTTCTGGGAGAGGTTAGTATTTTAATGAGTGGATGAGCAGAGCAGATGGCCCAATCCAATGTCAGTGGGCATCATCCACTCCACTGAGGGCCTGAATAGAACAAAAGCCGGGGGGAGACCCAATTCACTCTCTGCTGGATGAATAAGCCAGCACACCCACCTCCTGGCCTGGGTGCTGCTGGGTCTCAGCCCCTCAGACCCGCACTGGAATCTGTACCATCTGCTCTCAGACTCTCAGGCCTTCCAACTGCACCACCGTCTTTCCTGGGTCTCCTGATGGCAGACTGCAGACCATGGGACAGCTCAGGCCCCATAGCCTTGTGGGCCACTGCTTTTTAATAAATACCTTTCCAGATACAGACTATTGCTTCTGTTTCTCTGGCAAACCTTTAATAATACACCAAGGAAGGAATCAGTATAATCTGGACTCTAATAAACTCAGTTGAAAATTCTATCATGTTGCCTCAACACAAATATAAAGAGGAAACAAAACACACAGGGACGGAGATTGTAGGAATTAAAATAGACTTAAAAGACATACTATGTGTTAATATTTATCAATCTAATTTCATTTCACTTTGAAATATTTGATCACAATTCAACTGAAAATTGGATATTTGAGGATTAAAAAAACCTGACTAATAATTATGTTACACTGAGATAAGGAATGACATTAGAAGTATGTAAATTGCCCTGCCCTGTAGCTCAGTTGGTCCCAATATGACAAGGTTAGATCCCAGGTCAGGGCGCTTAATAGGAGCAAACAATAAAAGCATAACTGAATGGAACAACAAATCAATGTAACTTTCTCTTACTCAATCATTCTCTCTCTCTCTCTCTCTCTCTGTGTGTCTTCCTTCCTATCCCTATCAAAATAATTGTTTAAGCAAAATAATTTTTTAAAAATATTTTAACATACAACTATGTAAATTAAGATTCACTTTTAAAATTATGTAATAAAAATTTAGAAAGTAAAATCATAGGTATATCGTGCACAGAAATGGGGAAAGGTTGGTACAACTATAGGTATAAGTGCAAAAAGATTAGTTATACCATATGGGTTCTTCATGCATGAGTTCATATTTTCTCTCCAATTCTGGATACCTAGAATATTCTATAACTTAATTTTTGAAATTGACCTTTTGAATTCTATTTCAGTGATTCTTTGCTCTCTAACAGCCAAAATTTTTTCTCTTACTCCCTTCCTTAAGCTTCATCCATGTCCCTTCATCTCAAGAGTTCTCAGCTCCATCCATCTCCTTCCTTCCTCACAGTTGTTTTAAACTGGTCCCCTTTTTCCTCTACTTCAAATCCATCATCTTCCCCCCTTTTCTCACTTCCCATTCCCATCCGACAAATCTCTTCTATGGAGATAAACTGAGATTAAGGAAATACCAAGGTTGGCATTAGAGTTCCATCTGCATGTAGGTTATGTGGGCTGGATTTCAGGTCTGAACTGACTGCCTGTGTCCTGGGGATGGGTTTTTGATCCCCTATTCTTTTAGAGAAGGGGTCTTCAAACTTTTTAAACAGGGGGCCAGTTCACTGTCCCTCAGACCGTTGGAGGGCTGGACTATAGTTTAAAAAAAAACTATGAACAAATTCCTATGCACACTGCACATATCTTATTTTGAAGTAAAAAAACAAAACGGGAACAAATACAATTATTTGTATTTGCATGTGGCCCGCGGGCCGTAGTTTGAGGACCCCCATTTTAGAGACATATGGAACAAGGAAAATAACCCTCAGCTTCCCTGTCAGGTTGGAGTCAGCATACACTTCAATTTAGGTAAACCTCTTGGAACCTCTGGTTTTAAAAAAATAAACACACCTGACATTCTGAAAAGCCATTTCATACAAGGCTTCTGACCAGCTTTATCACACACCCATATTTGTTACCTTTTAGATCAGATGGGGGTCACAGTAACCATATTTTTACCAAGTACTTAGATGATTTAGGACAGGCTCACATAAAAACTCCACAATAGTAAAAGCATGTGTCCTATACTTACCTAAATTCAAGTTGAGGTCCAGGTCCTACTAGAGCAACGACATAGGAAACCAAGGCTCTCCCCGAGCTCACACTTCCTGTGCGCACATACCCAGGATTCCCAGCTCATCTGGTGCCAGCTTTCCTAGGGCCAGTCTGTGGACTGAGTCTCCAGGACGGGTCTGGGATGGGTCCTGTACCAGTTGTGAAGTTAGTGCTGTGACCCTGGCATCTATATACACCACTATGAGAACTTATCAACTGGTGGCTCCGCCCTGGAGGAGGGAATGTGGCAGGTGAGGCTTAGCAGCTGTTCAGAGTTGCTGGTGGATGGGGCGGGGGTGGATCTCCCCTGAGATAATCAGCTCAGCAGAGGCCTGCAGCTCTTCATTTGCATGATCTACTCTGGACTTTTGGAATTCCCTGTCCACACTCTCATCACCCTTTACTCCCATCTTTGCTCATTAAGAAATAGACAGCTGAAGGCTAAGGGAGGCCCATTTCTTTTCTCACCTTGGAATGTGAGAAGCCCCCAGTTTCACCCCCTGTCATCTCCAGCACTCTGCAGTCCTGCCCTCTCTCTCCACACTCAGGGCATGGTACCCTTCTGCCACAGCACTTTTGTGCTTGCAGGTTGGTCCGTGGCAGCCCCGTACTCCTTATACATTGTTTACCCTCTTGTACTGGCATTCTTTCAAGTCCCAGCCTAATTTTTACTTTCATTGAGAAGCATTCTTTGCACTCTAAAATTTTTTATCAATTATTTTGGGTCATATTGCTTATTAGGGAATGTGGTTTTTACATTGACTGACAAAATTTTACCAGTTTCATTTTTTAAATTTATATATATTTTTAAATGCAGTGCATTTAGATGCTGATTTTGTTTTTAGTACATTCTTATTGATTTCAAAAAGGAAGGGAGAGGGAGAAAGAGAGAGAAACATCACTGATGAGAGAGAATCATTGATCAGCTGCCTCCTGCATGCCTCCCACTGGGGACCAAGCCTGCAACCCAGGCATGTGTCCTTGACCGGAATCAAACCTGGGACCCTTCACTCAGGAGGGCAATGCTCCAGCCACTGAGCCAAACCAGCTAGGGCTAAATTTATTTTCAATTATGGTTGACACCCTCCACATTCTTTTAAAATCAAACATTTGCCCAGTCATTGTGGCACAGTGTGAGCATGGACCTATGCACCAAGAGGTCAAGGTATGATTCCTGGTCATGGCACATGCCTGGGTTTCCCACTTGATCCTGTGAGGGTCATGCAGGAGGCAGCCTTTCCATATTTCTCTCATTCTTGATATTTCTATCTCTCTCTCCCTAGCCCTTCCTCATTGAAATCAATACATAAGATATATTTTAACTAAAAAATCAAACATTTATTATATTTCCCAATCTATGAGTGATTCCTACAAAGTAAAACACTAGCACAGAATCACATTTGATTCTAGTCAATCTCATTGCCAAGAACAGTCATTAAGCAAAGTGACATAAAAATGAATTAATATTCAAGTGACTTTGCTGCTAGATGACTAATGAAATCACTAAAAACTACTTCAATTGACTTGTAAGCCCAGGTATTGTTACTGGGACACCTCTGGGTGGGCTCAGGCTGCCTGCCGCTGTGTCCAATAACGAAGGCAGGGTTGAATCATATTGGGCGTTAATTGAGGATAGACAGCCAAGAAGACAGGGTGCTTACAAGAATCATATCCTGCCTCCCAGCAAGAGTATTATAAAGGGGAAGGGGCTTGGGTGAGGAATGCAGCTACATGCTGACCTGGGGTTCCTCAGACATGAGCTCTTATAATTAGTCATCAGGCCATGAGATGATGTCAATGAGATGATATTTTTACTCCTTGTGGGTTGGCTTGACCATGCTGGTGGGTTCTGCTTGTGGGATTCACAGTTGAGTCCACTCCTCAATCACTTCACACAGGCCTTGAAAAGGAAACTTGAAGAAAAACTTAACTCCCTATTCATACATAAGAAACTTAACCCCCTATTCACATAAATATATGTGTTCTGAGATTTAAAATAATATGATTACTTTTCAGATTCATACAGGTGCTCTACCTATTAGATTATAAGTCTCCCCTATCAGTATAAGACTGCTTTTGGTTCAGTGACTAGAGGAAACCAGGATATAAATTCCTAAAATTTCCTATTCTAAAAGATACTATCAATGTAGAATAATCATCTCCTTAAGTCAATTCCATTGGGATTCTGTTTCCCCCCACAAAGTGTTTCTGTCTTCTAACCTTTACTACACACTGAAATAGGATTTACAATCCCAACAGTGAATCCATTACAAATAAGATAAATTAGCCCTGGAGAAGACATATATTTTCTGGAAAATGTCCGTAGAAAAATGAATGTGAAAGGTCCTTTGGTGACAACTCAGAGGAAAATGAGGAAAGTGTTAATATGATGCTGAAGAAAAGGTGGTTGTTGTTGTAAAGGGCCAGAAACCATAGCTTAGTTGTGTAGTACTGTTGTGTGGAAGGCAGACTTTGTAAGTGATAAACTGCTAAGGAGAGTAATTCTCTGGGGGTGGAGTCTCCATCCTCTGGATCCATATTATTCCTACTTTAAGAATTATAGTTCATGTACCATGTATAACTGAAATTTAAACCAGTGATGTACTTGGGTTAAGTAACCATACCAACTGAATTTTGTGCCTGTTGAAACATTGTTACATATGAATTGCCTTTGTGAGTTTCTGCTATAAACATACCATAATGCCACCACTGGTTTTCACACATGCCACACCATTCATTTATAGTAAGTAACTCCTAGGGCCCTGGCCAGTGTGGTTCAGGTGACTGAGCATTATCCCATGGCCCAAAAGGTGGCCAGTTTGATTACCGGTCAGGACACATGCCCAGGTTGCAATTTCAATCCCAGCTGTAGCATGTATAGGAAGCAACCAAATGGTATTTCTCTCTCTCCCTCTCCCTCTCCCTTTCCCACACTCTAAAAACAATAAAAACATTTTTTAAATATATATTTGTATTGATTTCAGAGAGGCAGAGAGAGATAGAAACATCAATGATGAGAGAGAATCATTGATTGGCTGCCTCCTGCACACCCCCCACTGGGAACTGATCCGCAACCCAGGCATATGCCCTTGACCGGAATCGAACCCGAAACCCTTCAGTCTGCAGGCCGGCACTCTATCCACTGAGCCAAGCCAGATCGGGCTCAATAAAAACATTTTTAACAAACAGATCCTAAAAACTATTTTTTAAAAGGTAGCTAGGAGCTCTAGCTGGTTTGCTCAGTGGTTAGAGCATTGGCCTTCAGACTGAATTGCCATGGGTTCCATGGATTCCATGGGTTCCAGGGCACATGCTGGGGTTTTAGGCTCTATCCTCAGTGGAGGGCGTGCAGGAGGCTGCCGATCCATGATTCTCTCTCAACACTGATGTTTCTGTCTTTCTCTCCCTCTCCCTTCCTCTCTGAAATAAATGAAATATATATTTTTAAAAAAGGTAGCTCTGAGGCTACTTGTCAACAGAAGTCTCTCCCAATTATGTTTTTTTATGCCATTATATTCAGACATTAGTTTCAATGATTCTTTTTCTAATGATTCACCATTTTTCAAAATAATAGTGCTTTATATTTCTAACAAATAATGTTTTAAGATTTTACTTAAATATCTTCTTTATAGGTGGCGTTATTGAACAACTGCTATAGGGTTAAGTCAAACTACTGTAAATTCCTATGGTAATATTTTTACCAGCTCTAATGACTTTTCATTCTAGCACTCATCATTAATGTACATTTCACTGATGTCTAATTGGATTCAGGAGTTATGGCAAACAATAGCTTTTCACCTCACAGTACATGCATTCGTCTTCATCCCTTGCAGCGAAGTAGGGCCTTGCAATGACTTCTAGAAAATGGAAAAGGAGAAAAGTGTGTCTTTTCCTGGTGTTGGCCTTCAATGCTCAGGGTGGCCCTTCAATGCTCCCTCTTTCTCTAGCTGTACTGACCTAGTGCTGTGACAACACATGACTGAGGGAGTTAGATCCGTGGGTGGGTAATGGAGCTGCCCTGCTGGCCTATATTACACTTTGCAAGAGTAAGTACCTGAGCCCAGCCGGGTGTAGCTCAGCGGTTGAGATTGACCCAGGAACCAGGAGGTCACCAGTTTGATTCCCGATCAGGGCATATGACCAGGTTGCGGGCTCGATCCCCAGTGTGGGGTGTGCAGGAGGCAGCCAATCAATGATTCTCTCTCATCATTGATGCTTCTATCTCTCTCTCCCTCTCTGAAATCAATAAAAACATATTTTAAAAAAAAGAGTAAGCATCTGAGATTACCACAGCATCGCATGGCTACTCTGGTCAGTGCAAGGGTTCTCTTGTACCTCAATAAAAGCTCTGCTGAGCATCTTTTTCAAGTTATGGAGACACAAATAGTACAGAGATATGCATAGTAAAACTTTATTTCCAAACATTGTAAACAATACCATACAGGTATCCACACAGAAGCATGTTCTCAAAGGTTGACAATTTCCCATAAGGTCAAAAATGAGCATGTGACCTTTACAGGTCATACAGTGGTTGTAAAATGTAGGTTTATTGCCCTGGCCAAGTGGCTCCATTCCTTGGAATGTCTTGTCATACAACAAAAATTGGGCAGGTTTGATTCTCAGTCAGGGCACATAGGCTTCAGGTTCAATCCATGTTCAGGGTGAGTACAGGAAGCAACTGATGGATGCTTCTCTCTCACATTGATGTATCTCACACACACACACACCTCTCACTCCCTTCCTCTTTCTATATATCAATAAACATCATTAGGTGAGAATTTTACTTTATTTTAAATATATTTTTATTGATTACAGTGAGGAAGGAGGAGGGAGAGTTAGAAACATTAATGATGAGGGAGAATCCTTGATAGGCCGCCTCATGCACACCCCATACTGGGGGATTGAGCCCACAACCTGAGCATGTGCCCTGACTGAGAATTGAACCAAACTGTGACTTCCTGGTTCATAGGTTGATGCTCAACCACTGAACTATTCCATCTAGGCTCAGGTGAGAATTTTTAAAAAGGTATGTTTACAGTTGTTAGCATGCAAAAGTTTATTCTCGTATTATTTGTTATTAATTACTGTACATATTTGTAACACTAATGTCAACCTGCTTTTGCTCAGCCTTGCACATGACATTTTTTAAATATATTTTATTGATTTTTTACAGAGAGGAAGGGAGAGGGATAGTTAGAAAGATCCATGAGAAAGAAACATCAATCAGCTGCCTCCTGCACACTCCCTACTGGGTATGTGCCCGCAAACAAGGTACATACCCTTGACCAGAATCGAACCTGGGACCCTTCAGTCCTCAGGCCATCGCTCTATCCACTGAGCCAAACTGGTTAGGGCCATGAACATGAAATTTTTATAAAACAGGCAAAATATTATAAAACAGGAGACAAAAGCAAGACGATTAGAATTCCCCAAAAAATTACATGGAAAATAATAGTCAATAGAATGTTTCTTATGGAAACTTCTGACTTAGGTCAGTCAAATCTACAACACAGCCTCCATAAAACTCAGCAAATGCAGCACAATCTGCAAGGACACCCTTGCCTAGAGAACCAAGGTGTGTTACCACACAAAGCCAGAGGAGGAAGCCCTGGTGCGGTGCTTCATATCTGGAAAAATCCTGCTCACAATGTCAATGGTGGTGACCAGCTTATATAGGCAGGGTGGAAGCCATGCAAAATTGGTTTCAAATGTTCACACTGATGATAACATATCAGAAGAATATGAAAAGTTTATTACTCACATGATGAGGTTTTCAGGGGAGAGAAGGGTGGATATTAGAATAGGTCCCAAAATGACAGAGCACAGGGAAAGGGGTCTAGCTTGTGGTGTTCATGTTGGTTACTGGGTGCTGTTGTTGGGAGCCTGCTGACACTGATGGAAACTTGCTTGATTGGAACTTCCCCCCTGCACCCAAGGATAGAGCACCTGGACTTTCTCATTAGCTTTCTCAGGTGTAAGGTTAGGAAGGAGAGAAGGGTGAGTCCTTAAAGCTTTCAACATTCAAAAATCAAAACTGGAATCAGGATCTTTATAAGTATTCTAAGCACATACAAAATTTCTTCCAAATTGTTCATCACTAGACTCTGATGATACTGATTGTAAGACTTTCTGGAGAAGATGCAATGGAGAAATAAGGCATAAGTTTCTCTGAAAACATGTCAGTAAATGCAAACAAGTATGACCTGTTACTCAAATTATAAAATGAAACCTCTCCCAACTCATAGTCCAGAAAAATGCCAATCTTATGATGTCCTAAAAGGCCAAACATACCAGCCCGCTGCTTATATCGCCAGCAGCCATTGCTTGGCAATGGTTTTATGGGAGTATTTCTGGGGAAAGATTCTTTACACACACCAAAGGACCATGCACCTATACCTCTTACTTCTACCTGCCAAAAATGCCTGCCAGCATCAAATCCCTCAGAACTCAGGACAGCTGGGTAAGAAGTGTGTGCCTGGGGATTAGAAAGACCAACTGATGTCCTATAGGTCACACTTTTTCTATCTCTTGAGATAATGAGACTTGGATGGGCAGTTTCAGGATCCAGTGTCAAATCTGCCTGAAATATGTGGATCATTTTATGCAGGCCCAAGTAATGTGGGGGGAGAGTGAAATTCTTCTTCTTTAATTCATATGAAAACACTGCTGGGGTCTCTAGCTTTTCATACCTATTGTGGATATCTTCAATACCTGTGAGTAAATCCACATCTGCTTGCAAATACTTCTCTGCTATTTCACTTAAAAACTTGTTTAGTATGAACATATGGTTTGAAACTTGCCTTCCATTTTCAGTTAGTTTTTCTTCAACATCCTTCTCTTCTATAAATAGACCAGCATTAAGTACACTGTGCTCTACTTGTAAGGAACACTTCAGTTCTTTACATTCATACTGCAATTCTTTCCTCCAGTTTTCCATCTTTTCCTGCACTTCAAATTCTTTTGCAATTTGGTTTTCACATTCCGTTTCAGCATCTTCAACCTCCACCAACAGCGCCCCAATGTATCTTTTGAGCTTCCTCCTGTAACTAGCAGCAGCTTCCTCAATGGGTATCAGGGAGTGATGCTGGTGGTCTAAGGGGACCTTGCAATGAGGACATAACAATTCCTGGGCGTTGTCACAAAAAAATTTCAAAACCTCATTGTGCTTCCCACACAGGGGTTTTTCTTCCTGTAATTTCCTCTGGCTCCCTGTGGTGGGAATCTGCTTAACAATCTCAATCATGTGACATAATTGGGTGTTCCTCTTCAATTTCCTGTCAGGACAGTGGTGGAGGCAGACAGGACAGGGAAAGGTGCCCTGTAGACCTTCCCAGCGCTGGTGGATGCAGGAGGGACAGAAGGTGTGCCCACATTCAATGGTCACTGGGTCTCTCAGGTAATCCAGGCAGATGGGACAGTTGGCCTCTGCCTGGAGCTCAGTCAGGGAGGCCGCAGACTCCATTGTGCAATGAACGTATCTGACCCAAGACAGTCTTTTTAATCAGTGTGATCCTCCAGGAGTGAGAAAAATGAGTATGTGACCTTGGCAGGTCATACAGACTCCCACCTGGAATTTAAGGGGAGTTCATTAAACATTAGTCTGCTGCCTCCTGCACCCCCTCTATTCAAATTTCCAGAAGCTGAGGTCTGCTCTCTGTGCAATGCAGTAGGAGAGTCCAAAAAGAGTCCCAGTTTTCAGCTGATGCCCAGACTTCCTGTCACTCTTGCCTGTATTTAATGCCTTTTCCCCCAATTAAACATGGGCTGTGGAGTCCTTGTGGTCAAAACCCCAGCACAATCTAAGTCATATGTGGTTTCTGTGGACAGAACAATATTGCCATTTAAAGAACAGTTCAATCAGCGATTAATCCTTATATCCCTGTATGAAAAAGTACCTCTGGCTGATTTGGCTCAGTAGCTAGAGCATCAGTCTGCAGACTGGAGGGTTCTGGGATCAATTCTGACCCAGGGCACATTCCCAGGTTTCAGGCTCAATATCCCGCCCCTGCCCCGCAAGTAGGGGATGTGCAGGAGGCAGACAATCAATGATACTCTCTCATCATTGATGTTTCCATCTCTCTCTTTCCCTTCCTCTCTGAAATCAATGAAAAATATATTTAAAAAAAAAGAATATGGTTCCTTAAATGTTAAAAAGAAAAAGTATCTATGGTAAACAAAATTATTTACCAGGACAATATTTAAGGAGGAGTTATCAATGGAGACTATCATCTATTTTGCAACTCTAAAGGAATTAATTGTTGTAGGGAAATTTATCATTGGCCTCAACTAAAAAGAGTAACAAAATACATATCATAGAATTGTTGAGGAGAATATATAACACTATTTGTGAAGAAGTTTTGACAGAAAAAATGAATCTAAATCTCCACAGAGTTCAAACCACCTATTTACAGGAAATATAAGAATGGAGAAACCTGTGAAGGATAATCTTGTTAAATTTAGGAGTTAACTTGATTGAGCCACAGGAGATGCAGATAGCAGGTGAAACACTAGTTCTGGGTGTGACTATGAGATTTCTGGGAGAGATTAGTATTTGAATCTGTGGATGAACAAAGCAGATGGCCCTCCCCAATGTCAGTGGGGATCATCCACTCCACTGAGGGCCTGAAGAGACCAAAAACTGGGGAAAGGTTGAATTCACTCTGCTGGATGAATAAGCTAGCACACTCACCTCCTGGCCTGGGTGCTGCTGGTTCTCAGCCCTTCAGACCCACACTGGAATCGGTATATCTGTTCTCATTCTCTGCTCTTCCAACTGCACCACCTTCTTTCCTGGGTCTCCTGCTGGCAGAATACAGATCATGAGACATCTCAGGCCTCACAACCTTGTGAGGCAATAATCTACACTAATAAAAGGAAAAGATGCGAATTGACCGTACCTTCGCTATGCCCCAGGCGACGCCCACCAGCCAATCAGAGTGACTATATGCAAATTAACCCAACCAAGATGGCAGCCGGCAGCCACGGAGCTGAAGCAGGAGGCTTGGTTGCCCTGGTGATGGAGGAAGCCAAGCTTCCCGCCTGCCCTGAGCCAGCTGTGGCTTCTGCTCATGGCAACAAAGTTTCAATTATAGAAGACAAATAAATCCCAGATACCTGCTTCCAGCCAGCCTCCACTGGGAGCTTGGGTGGCTGGGGGCCATGGCCAGCCTGCAAACAGCCATCAGCCCCTCACCCAGGATGGCCACATCCTCATGGGGTGAGGGTCCCCGCTGGGGGGCTTGGCCAGCCTGCAAACAGCCCTCAGCCCCTCACCCAGGCTGACCAGGCACCCCAGTAGGGACCCCCATCCTGAAGGGGCTGTGGCCAGCCTGCAAACAGCCACCACCCACTCGCCCAGACTGGCCAGGCACCCCAGCAAGACCCCCCCACCCTGAAGGGACTGTGGCCAGCCTGCAAACAGCCATCATCCAGTCACCCAGGCTGGTCAGGCACCCCAGCAGGACCCCCCCTCCCTGAAGGGGGTGTGGCCAGCCTGAAAACGGCCCTCAGCCCCTCATCCAGGCTGGCCAGGCACTCCAGCGGGGACCCCCACCCTGAAGGGGGTGTGGCCAGTCTGAAAACAGCTCTCAGCCCCTCACCCAGGCTGGCCAGGCACCCCAGTAGGGACCCCCACCCTGATCCGGGACACCCTTCAGGGCAAACCAGCCGGCCCCCACTCATGCACCAGGCCTATATATTATATAGTAAAAGGGTAATATGCAAATTGACCCTAACAGCAGAACAACTGGGAATGACTGGTCACTATGACACACACTGACCACCAGGGGGCAGATGCTCAATGCAGGAGCTGCCCCCTGGTGGTCAGTGGGCTCCCACAGGGGGAGCTCTGCTCAGCCACAAGCCAGGCTGATGGCTGCCAGTACATCGGTGGTGGTGGGAGCCTCTCCCACCTCCTCAGCAGCACTAAGGATGTCCAACTGCAGCTTAGGCCTGGTCCCCTCTGGCAAGTGGACATCCCCCGAGGGCTCCGGGCTGCCAGAGGGATGTCTTACTGCCAGCTTAGGCCCAATCCCCCAGGAAGCAGGCCTAAGCCAGCAGGTGGACATCCCCCGAGGGGTCCCAGACTGCGAGAGGGTACAGGCCGGGCTAAAGACCCCCCCCACCCCCAGTGCACAAATTTTTGTGCACCGGGCCTCTAGTTTTTAGTAAATGTCTTTTTCTAGATTCATACTATTGGCTCTGTTTCTCTGGTAAATCTTTATTAATATACTGAGTAAGTAATTAGTAAAATCTGCACTGTGATAAACTACTAAAAGTCGACCATGTTTTTCGACACAAAAGTAAAAAGAAAAGATAATACCTGTGAAGGACAAATACAGACATTAAAGTACATGTAGAGAGCATAATAAGCAATTACAATGTATAAACTTAATTTCATTTCACCTTGAAATACTTAGCCAAAATTTAACTTGTAAGTTAGATATCTGTAGGTAAAAAGAATTTAATGATGATTGTGTTAGGTTGAGATAATGAATGGCATTAGAAGTTTGTAAGTCAAGTCTTTCAGAAATATATAATGAAAAATTTATGAGTGTGATTCTGTGATATCTTTGGATTTGTTTCACAAAAATGGCAAGAACTAGGTAAGGAGTGGCAAAAAGTTCCTAAGTATAGTACCTGGGTTCACAATATTCTCTCTCCTATTATATGTACCTAAAATATTCCTTGATTTTAAAAAGTTCTTTTAATTCAACTTCTGTGATTCTCGGTTCTATTCTAGGTATTTTCTCCTACTCCTTTCTTTAAACTTCACCTCTTTCCATTCATCTCAAAGCTCTCAGATCCATTCCATCTCTTTTCTTCCTCACAGTTGTTTCAAACTGGTCCCCTTTCTCCTCCACTCCAAATCCATCACGTTCTGTGTTCCCACTTCCCATCCACACCCAAATCTCCCACAATAATATAAATTGAGACTGAGAAAAGACAAGGAAGGCATTAAAATTCCATCTACTTCTATGTTATGTGAGTCGGATTTTAAATCTGATCTCAGACTACCTGTGTCACTGGGATGGGTTCTTTGAACCCCTTTTCTTTCAGGAACACATAGAACAAGGAAAATAACACTCAGCTTCCCTTTTAATTTTGTGTCAGCATAAACATAAATAAACCTCTTGAAACCTGTGGTTTTAAACAATAAGAGTGAGACACATAACTGAAGAATTTCTGCATAGTATTTTTATTTCTATCGTATGAAATATACTTAGTCTTTGTCCTTCATTTCTGGCACAGAGCTCCTAAAACCCTTGAAATTTCCTGAGTGATTGGTAGGAGTATATTTTAATAGTTATTAGGAGCCCCCTTTGAGCACATCTGAATTTATATCAATAATGTGACAGCAAGGGGCAAGATGGACACCCAGTAGCTTGGTCACCAAAAAGACCAACTGATGAGATTAGAACTTTGGGCCCCACCCACCGAATTCTGGGAGGTCAGGCGGGGGCTAGAGATTAACTTCTGTGAAAACAGTACAAACGGTTGGAGATTTAAAGAGTGTCTGCAAATGCCAGAAGGGTGGCACACTCGTTCCACAGGGATGGAAGCTCCTGCCCTCAATATATTTCCAGATCTCTCCCTTTGTACCTCTTCACCTGGCTTGCCATCTGTATCCTTTATAATAAAGGTGGCAAACCTAAGTAAATGCTTGAGTTCTGTGAGCCCCACTAGCAAATAAATGGACCTCAAAGAGGGGCTGTGGGGACCTCTGATTTAAGCTGTTGGATCAGAAGCCCAGGTAACAACCTGGACTTTGGACCGGCTTCTGCATGGGGATCTGATGCTGTGGGGTCTAGTTTCACATTCACCCGTCAGTGCCTGCTGCTTCTTGGAGAATCGCGTGGTGGTGCATCATCCTTATGTGGATATTTAATTGTAGGTCTGCTGATTTTTCTCAACACTGACAAAATGCATTTAATGTACAAATTCACTTTGAAGTCCTTGGAACACTGAATATCTCATGATTTCACCAAAACAAATTCCACAGTTTGTTGCAGAGTAAAAAGGAAACATATGAAGCTATTAAAATATCAGTAAATATTCCATCTTCAAATAAGTAATTACACACACGTGTGTAAAACCTTAACTAGAGCCCAGCCAGTGTGGCCAGGGCCTGAGCTTCGGCCTGTGGACCAGGAGGTCGGGCAGGAGCCGGGGCTGCGGCTCAATCCCCAGTGGGGGGCCTGCGGGAGGCAGCCGATCAATGATTCTCTCTCCCCCGCTTCCTCTCTGAAATGAATAAATATATTCTAAAGAACAGCACCTTACACAGGGAGTCCACGGAGAAAGAAAACGGCGCGGCCGTGAGCCAAGGGCCTGCACCAGCAGGTCCTCACCGGGAGCCCGGGCCTGGCCGCAGCTGCCTGGGCTGTGGCCCCCGGGCCGGCAGAAGCCGAGTCCCGTCCGCAGCCACAGCTGGGACTGCCCCTCCCCTCCGGCCTCCCCTCTGAACCCACTGAGGTAGCCACTCGGCGGCCAGAGAACCTGTTCCAAATACCCGGTGCGAACCTGCGGCCGCCGGCAGCCCCTCCGAGCTCTGAGGGCCGTTTCCGCCATGGCCGCCGGCACCCACCTTGAGCGGCGGGAGGCGCCAGCGCGGGTCGCCGGGCCGCGCCCCACCTCGGCCTCCCGCGGCCGCGCCCGCATCTGGTCCTTCCTTGTGTCCCGCCCACCCGCGGCCTGGGACCGGCTCACCTACCCTCTCCGCTCGGTCTCTGCTCCGTGTCCTGGAGGCCTGGGGGGCGCCGAGCGCTCCTCCTTGCCCCGCACAGCCAGGATCTTCCACATCCGGGTCAAAGGGCACGAAACGGCCCCAGTTTCCGTTCACTCTTGTGAACAGAATTTGAACGGGTCAGAGGCGGGGGCGGGCCTCAAGGTATCAAAGGGAGAAAAGAGGGGACATATGTAATACTTTCCTCAATAAAGATTAAAAGAAAGAAATTGCCTAAAAGTCTCATCCAGAGGTTGTCTTAATAGCTTCTGCCCTTAGAGGAGGTGTGTCCACAATCTGTCCTTGTCTCCGTTTTCTGATTCACAAAATCATCCTGCAGTTCTCAACCGCCACAGGCTCCCGCGCAGCAGACAAGCTCCCAGCAGCATCGGTTCTCCTTTCCCTGCTCACGGTTCTCCTTTCCCTGCTCACGGGGGCGACGGCGGCCTGTGGGTGCGGACCGTGAGGCGGGGCGGCGGCTGTGACAGGCCCAGGCTCCGCGCCCGGTGCTTGGAGAGAAAGGCCGGTGCTCGCTTGGGCAAACATGGATGTGATTTAATTTCTATGTTTGTATCGAGAACATTCTCCTTGTATGTCTTCAAATGACAGCAACCTGCATATCCTGCAACTGCCTGTGTTTCACACACTTTCATCCTGTATCAGCACATTGTTTTATTTATTTTTATTTTTTTCAATATGTTTTTTATTTTCATTTTAGTGAGAATGGAAGGGAGAGGCAGACAGAGTGAAACCCAGATCCAGGCATGTGACCTCCTGGTTTATAAGTTGACCCTCAATCACTGAGCCAAACTGGTCCGGCTGATTGTAACCAACGATGTCACTTTGGTTGTCACCATCAGTACGTCCCTCTGTTCAAACAGGTGGTGCTAGACACTTTTCCAGCAGGTGGTGCCAGACACTGTTCAGTGCGCAGGTCTGGACAACAGGAATCTGTGTCCTGAAGCAAAGCCGCCTCCTCTCTCCTGGACAAATGGTCATCCACACTAAGACAGGCAAAGTCTGCATTGCTCTCTGTGTCTCTTCTCCCTGGATGGACGCTGACTATTGTCTCTGTGGCCAGGATTCTAATCATTAAGTTTTAGGGGTTTTTTAAATATATTTTATTGATTTTTTTACAGAGAGGAAGGGAGAGGGATAGAGAGCCAGAAACATCGATGAGAGAGAAACATCGATCAGCTGCCTCCTGCACACTCCCCACTGGGGATGTGCCTGCAACCAAGGTACATGCGCTCTGACCGGAATCGAACCTGGGACCCTTGAGTCCACAGGCCGATGCTCTATCCACCGAGCCAAAACGGTCAGGTCTAATGATTAAGTTTTAAGTGAGCATGTAAAGTTTGAGTGGAGGAGTCAATGAACGAGTTGATAAGGAGCTGATGAACCACCAGTGGGTTCCACAGGGAAGGGAGGTGCTGTCGGTCCCAGGTGGGTGGTCCTGGCAGCGTGAGTGCCTCACAGCCTCGGTGAGCAGGACTCTGGAAACAGCCAGAACCTTAGAACCTTGTGCAGGTTGACCACAGCTATCTCCTAGGGCTGGGAGCGGGCATGACCTGGATGCAATGTGTGTGTGTGAGGGGGGTGGGGGCGCGAGAAGGATCGGGGTATCAGAGTTACCCAGAAACACGAAAGGCAATTACCTGGTCCCCAGCCTCCTGACAGGCACTTCCAGGAACCCCCAAATATGCCCCATGACTGACACTGTTAAGCAGCTTCCATCCAAGAGGAGCCAGAGGAAAAAGCAAGAAGAGGACCTCCTGTGTGAGGAGCACCATGAGGTCGTGGCCCTGTTCTGTGAGAAGGACCTGGACCTGCTGTGTCCCAGTGCAGGGTCTCCTCCCACCACCAGGCACAGCCCCTGAGCAAGTGCAGTTAGTCACAGGAGGTCGCTCAAAGCCACACTGAGCCCCTGAGGGAGCAGGTTGAAGATGCTGCCAAGGGTTACAGGGGTGGGCAAACTTTTTGACTCGAGGGCCACAATGGGTTCTTAAACTGGACCGGAGGGCCGGACCAAAAGCATGGATGGAGTGTTTGTGTGAACTAACATAAATTCAAAGTAAACATCATTACATAAAAGGGTGCGGTCTTTTTTTTTTTTTTAGTTTTATTCATTTCAAACGGGCCGGATCCGGCCCTCGGGCCGTAGTTTGCCCATGGCTGGTTTAGAAATACAAGTCTCAAAATCATTTGAATTGCTTTTGAAGGTGGAGAAGCAAATGGGGGAATTATACTCTGAGTTGCAACAATTTGCGACTTTGCTAGGAAAAGAGAAGGAACTCTTCAAATCACAGGTCAAAGTCAGTGCTGTTCAAGGAAAACTGAATGAAAACAAAGTAACTGGAACCACCCATCAGCAGCTGCACAGCTGTCTGCTTGGCTGGGACTTCACAGTTTCTCCTCCTGTGTGGCAGGCAGGTTCGGAGTTGTGTCTGTAAACTGCCCGTATCTGGGGAGGGGGATTGTGCCGTCACCAGAACAGGTTACAGCTTATTGTGAGGATGCAGGGAGCAAGGGATGGGCTGGACCCAGACCTCTGAAGCTGAAGGGTAAAGCCTCCCGTTCCTTGTACTGTAGGCGCTGAGATGGCACATCCTGAAGAGGGGGTGACACAGGGGCCCAGAGTTACACATTCCTGGGTGAGAAAAGCAACAGGCCTCAGCCTTTCAGATTTCAGATTCCTCAGCAAGAAAGATGGGATTAAATGTCTTTGGGAGGATTAAAAATGTGCAAAGAGATTATGCCTATGACTTTATCTGGCCTGACTGAATCACAGGAGATCCCTCTGCCCTCCCACCAGCATCTCTGAACTTCCTCTCACCTCCACCCTGGCCCGCCCCTTCCTCGCAGAGGAGGAGCCACCCTTCTCTGCTCCACCCTCTTATATAAATTCAGGTCAAGAGCTCATCACAGACCATAAGATCTGGTGACAGACTGACTTCAAGGGCCCTTCTGGGAGAAAGGTCTCTGCGACCAGAGTTACCGACCGTCCCAGGACCTGCTGCTCAGAAGAGTCCGGAGGCAGAATTCATGTGGCTGCGGGAGGTAAGACCTGGGCTAAACACCCAGCTGAGACAGGCTGAGATATTGTACATTGTAAGGGAATCCAAACTCAAATTTGGTTTATTCTATTTATTTATTTCAATTAAAATTGACATTCAATATTATATTAGTTTCATGTGGACAGGGTACTGGTCAGACATTTACATATACCTTATGAAGTGATTCCCCCATAGTAAGTATAGCACCCCCAACACTGTACATGGTTATTATACCATTATATATTCCCTGTGGGGTTTGACTTAATTAATTAATTTTATTGATAGGTTTTAGAGAGAGATTGATTCATTGTTATAGTTATTTATGCATTTATTGGTTGATTCTTGCATATACCCTGACTGGGAATTGAACCCACCACCTTGTCTATCGGGATGCTCTATAAACAACTGAACTACGCAGCCAGGGCTGGGTTTGACTTACTTTAAAGGACATGAGGTTTGCCCAACCAGTGTGGCTTAATGGTTGAGCATCGACCTATGACCAGGAGGTCACAGTTCGATTCCTGGTCAGGGCACATGCCTGGGTTGCCAGCTCGATCACCAGTGTGGGGTGTGCAGGAGGCAGCCAATCAATGATTCTCTCTCATCATTGATGTTTCTATCTCTCCCTCTCCCTTCCTCTCTGAAATCAATTAGAACCAACAACAAAAAGAACATGAGGTTTATGATGATTTCATGGGCCCTTTCGAAGCCTTATACTGAGTCACCAAAATGCTCGCTAAAAATCTGGATACCCAGATCTAACCCTTGAAAGGTTGGGATGGGAATGGGAATATCTGTGTGTGAGAAAGTGATGGCGAGTGTCCTCAAGAGACCTCCCTCCTAGCAGTGGGTCCCAGGTGAGCTGGGAGGGTGATAATGTGGATGCAGAAGGCAGGAGCCTTGGTTTCCTGAGCCCAGGCTCCTGCAGGCCTTGATCCCACTTCCCAAGGGAATCCTAACTTGGATTCAAGTTTGTCTTTGCTGTGACATATACTTTATCTTTTCTTAATCTTTATTGTTGGAAGTATTACATTTGTCTTATTTTTTTGGTTATTTTTTATAACACATATTTGTTTGTTTATTTGTTTCTGTTGCTCCACCCTTAAGACCTCCCCAAAACACCCAGCCTTTATTTTATTTTTTAACATATTTTTATTGTTGATGGTATTACAGATATCTCCCATTTTCCCTTCCTTTACCCCCCATCTTCCAGCCCCCCCCACCTCCCAGGTCTTCACTACCCTATTATAGGCCTGTGTCCATGTGAGGGGGTTAACTTGAAATGCAGGCAGGTAGGGCAGCGTCCAGTGGAAAACAAAGGCAGGTGAAACACAGGCAGGGGCAGACATGGCAGTTTGAGCAGCCGAACCACAGGAACCAACCAAGCAGAAACCATGAAATGTTTGTGGCCTTAAAGCAGGAGGCATGGGAAACCAAGGGAGGGCCTGCAGTAACCAAGACATATGAACACACAGAAACAGAAAAAGTTCAGCATGGGAACAGAGAACGCACATAGAAACAGGGAAAGTTCAGGGCCGTTGCTGGGCAAAAACAATTGAGGGAATCAATCAGGTGACGACACAGGTAGACAGAGCAGGCTTGTAGCAAATATATACCCCTGGGCTACAAGGCTTTAACGGGCAGCCCACTATTGGGCCCTCCTCCCCTTGCGGGGAGTCTGAATCTGCTTATAATGCATTTTCTACACTTTTGCTTAAATCTTCTGGTCTGCGGAGCTCATTGTTCGGTGTCTCGAGACATGACCCCCGGGAAAAACACCTTGGCTCACCGTTCAGGTTATCACGTGTATAATACGTTTTATTACTGTTTGGGTCCCTTAGTGAGCCTTGTCCAAATGCTAAAAACACAATGATCTGCCCTGGCTGGTTTGGCTCAGAGGCTAGAGCGTCCTCCCGCAGACTGAAGGGTCCCAGGTTCGATTCTGGTCAGGGGCACATGCCCGGGCTGTGGGCTCAGTCCCCAGATGGGGGCGTGCAGGAGGCAGCTGACTGGTGGTTCTCTCATCATTGATGTTTCTATCTCTCTCTCCCTCCCCTGTCCTCTCTGAAATCAAAAAAATATATATTTTTAAAAAAACACAATGATCCCAACCTGACCTAAGGGGTGACCAATAACTGTGTGTGACAAAGCGCCAAGAGGTGCTAGTCTGAAGCTGCCTGTGGAATCCCTTCCAGGATGGCTCACTGAGGGCCGGTTTGTGGATAGCCGGGGAGTGGACAGATGAGAGCCTTGAGGCCCTGATATACCTCGTACTTCAATCCTTTGATCTTCCTTAATCTAACCATCTGCTTGCTTGCAGGCACTATTTTCTCAGATCTTGGGAATGCAGATCTCTCAAACCTGCATGAGTTTGCAGCACTCAGTGAAAGGGGAATTCATGATTCTGTCCTTACTGTTCTGACCCTGTGTTAGGGGGAGTGAGCCATCACGGAGTCAGGGGAAGCTGGGATGAGAAAGAAGTGACAAGGCAGTGGGAGCTGGCCTCGGCACTGGAGACAAACCTAAGGGGATGTGCTTGTACAGGTGCTGGGATCAGAGGGAGCTGAACCTGCTAGAAAAGGGAAGGAAGGTGACAGGTGCAGACAGCCTGGCGCTGGCAGAGCTGGAGCTGAGGGAAGGATTGTGGTCTTGAGTGGGAACAAGGCCTGTAGGGGAGAGTGATGATTAGATCCCTGTGGATAGAGGGCAAATGAGAGAAGGCCCCAGTAGATGCTGATGGACTTGGCGGCTAGAGGGGAGTTCTGGCGGCTAGAGGTAGCTTTGTCAAGGGTAGGAGTGGTGACCACAAAACATGTGTTCTTTGACCATAGCGTTGTGAGTATGGACAGTCTGGGCTGGCTGTTAGGCATATTTTCCTCCAAAAATCTTCTCTGACTTATCAAAGGTCACCTGGCCATAAATGGGGAGCCAGGATCTCAGCCCAGGCAACTTGGGTCAGAGTCTTTTGAAATATTTGCTAATCCCATGAGATACTACAAAGAACAATGGCCCTTGTAGATCACTCTGATGTCTCTGGAGTTTTCAAAATGATCTGCTTTGATTTCATGATTGGTCATTTATTTCTATGATTAATCCTCTTTACCCATTTTATTTATTCATTTGCTTATTTGTTTGTTTAGTTATTTATGTTAATCTTCCCCTGAGGATATTTTTCCATTGATTTTTAGGGAAAGTGGAAGACAGAGAGAAATACTCAGGCGAGAGACACACATGGATTAGTTGCCTCCTGCAAGAACCCCAACCTGGGCTGGCCGGGAGGAGCCTGCAACCCAGGTAGGTGCCCTTGACCTGCAAAGACTGATGCTCTATCCTCTGAGCCAAACCGGCTAGGGCTATAGAAGCTATTTAGATAGTTGGACAAACTAATAGCAACTTTCTGATTTTCAATCATACCAGATGGCTTCCTCAGCCAAAGAGAATGAAAATGTTCTACCATAATTGTAATCAATTATTTTCTTTTCATTTTTTACTGTTAATAGACTTGCAAACAGAATTGCATGGGCCTGTAACCCTACACCACCACCCATTTAAGAAAGAGATCATTCGGAACAGTTCCCGGACGCAGGAGTAACATCTTCCTCTCCAAATATGCACCAACAGAACTTTCCACCCCTGACTCCTCCTTACCCTAGCTGGGGTGTAGGAAGTTGGAGCAACGGGAGCAGCTACTGGGGTACCCCAGGCAGAGGCAGACCACGGCCGCCCTCGCCTAGGGACTGGTATGGGAGCCCACATCACATGTAGTTGTATAGGCCCAGGTGTAGGCCCTATGGGAGCAGCCACTCTCCACGACAGGGCGTCAGCCTCCTGTGGGGCCGGGTTGGGTCTCAGTCCCCTGGCGGCTGCCCTGGTTCCTACTCCAGATCCCCCTCGGGGTCTCAGCAGCAATTAGGCTACTCCCCAGGGCAGCAGCAGGCCCACCCTCAAGCTTCTCCAAGGACACCTACACCTTTGGATCAGGGCGTGGTAGAGAAAAAAGAATGTCTAATGAGTTGGAAAGTTATTTCAAACCTTCAATGCTTGAAGACCCTTGGGCTGGCCAAGAACCAGTATCTGTAGTGGACATAAGGCAACAATACAGCAATACTCAAACATTCACAGGCAAACAAGGAAGATACCTTTGTTAACATTTCTGAAATTCACTGGAAGCTTCATGTGTCAGGATCATCTTGGACAAAACTTTCAGTTGTGTACTTAAATTGAACCTTGACATGGTAACTTTGATTGGATAATTAGTTGAGTCTGCTTGGTATTTTTCATCATATCAAACATAATTGATATTTGGGAAGAAACATGGTAGGATAATTTGCAATATGTAGCTCTCTGAAAGTGCCTGCCACATTTTAGGAAATTTACAGTTTCCAAATATTTAACATTCTTGGTTATATAATGGACATTTGTCTTTTAATGTTTTTCCAATGTTTTAAAATATTTTGTCTTCCTAGGCATATTGCGGTTTTGTCATATGCTAAAGGAATAGAAATATTAAAATGCTTTGTAATCAGAATTTGTAAGTAAATATTTTTCCTACTACTTTTCTTTTTGCATACTACTTTTGAAAGTAAAAAGAAAAATCTTTTGAGCTGTAATAAAAAAAAAGAAAGGAAAGGAAAGGAAAAGAAAGGAAAAGAAAAAGAAATAGATAATTACCAGCACCTAAAAGCTTTTCTCATGTTCTTCCCAATCACTAGCCTGGCCCTCCTCCCCAAATGTTAGCACCATGCTGATGCCTAACACCTGTATTTCTCCTCCTTAGGACCTTGTCCCCACAAATCATTGACACTAGTGGGTGGGTCAGCAGTGACAATGACTTCAAAGAACAATTGTTTGTGTGTTTGTTTTATTTTATATTGAAACCTTCATCTCCAATTTTATTCATTCTGAGCATGACATGAAAATCAGTTTTTTGAGTTGGAGGGTCCTCAAGGAAATCTAACCTCGTCGAAATCCCATCTACTTTTCTGTACAGAGCTGGATGTATCCTGCAGCTGAGAAGCTAAAGGAAAAACATGTAAACATGATATATTATGAATTCAGCACTATAAAAAATAAACTGTTTAAGCCAAACAGTGCCAGCTCCTTTTCTTAGGTTTTTCTCAAGATTAAAATGATTGAATTTGGGGATTTTATTCTTCTTTGCCAGGTTCTCTTAGAGATAAGAATGTTATGTAACTTTCCCCAGGTTTCCCAGATGGTAGGTCACTAAGGATGGAAACTGACCCAGGACAGGTGATCTAATCCCAAATCCATACACTTGCCACAGTTCCATGCAGCACCATTGTGGGTGACTTGGTTTAGCTGGGTTGTGCTGATAGAGACACAAACCAGTGGTTGCTTCAAATGTGGCAGTGAGCAGGACCACAATGGTAGCCTTTTTTACATGCAGCAATCTTTTCTCATCTCCAGGAATGCATAGGCACTTTAGAACCATGCCTGCTTTCTGACCAAGAATTTCTGAACTTGGACTCAACTAGTCTGCGATGAGCTGGAGGTGGTGAACGGAGCTCCTCTGGACACGAGCGGCCACTGGTCTCAGAGGAATGAGCCATTCAGGACAGCAAGGCCAGTGAGATCTGAGGGTGCATCTGCTTCTCGGTGGAGAGATCTCCCAGAGCCCAACCTCCTGAAGAAACCCACCTTAGTCCCGTCCCTTTCGGGGCCCAATGGCGGTTGACTCAGCTCTGGCAGGACTCCCGGCAGAAATCAACTGTCCCATCTGCCTGGATGGCCTGTGAGACCCTGTCACCATCGAATGTGGGCACAGCTTCTGTCGCTCCTGCACCCAGCAGTCCTGGGCTGATCTGCAGGACAGGTTCCCTTGCCCTGTGTGCCGTCACCCATGCCAAGAGAGGTGCTTGAGGGGCAACACCCAGCTGGGAAGGATGGTTGACATGGCCAAGCTCCTCCAGATCACCAGGGGCAAGAAGCAGCAGCAGGAAGAGAGGCGCTTGTGTGAGAAGCACAACCAGGTCCTGACCCTCTTCTGTGAGGAGGACCGAGAGCTGTTGTGTCCCCTGTGCACTCAGCCCCCTGACCACCAGGGCCACCAGATGAGGCCCATGGAGGAGGCTGCCTCTCATCACAGGCAAAGGCTCAGCAGTTACATTGAGCCCCTGAAGAAGCAGGTGGCAGACGCTCAGAAATCAATAAGCATTCAAAGCAAAAAACCCTTAGAACTGAGAGAGAAGATGGAAACCCAAAGGCTGGAATTACTCTCTGAATTTGAGCACCTGAGGCAGTTTTTAGAACGTGATCAAGAAGCAGTTCTTTCAAGATTAGCTGATGAAGAAAAGGCGATTGAAAAGAAACTCAGCGCTAATATAACCGAATTTTCAAAGTACAATTCCACACTCAAAGGCCTGCTAAATCAGGTAGTAGAGTGCACGGTGCTGACGGATGTGGAATTGCTGTTACAAATCAAAAGTTTCTACAAGCACTCTGAGGGGTTCAGCCCATCAATGTTTTCAGTCCAGTTACGGAGGGAAGGCTGCAGTTTTCCTTTCCAGTATTCTGCTTTGCAGAAAATTACAAAGACATTTAGAGTAGATATCATTCTAGACCAGGGGTGGGCAAACTTTTTGACTCGAGGGCCACAATGGGTTCTTAAACTGGACGGGAGGGCCAGAACAAAAGCATGGATGGAGTGTTTGTGTGAACTAATATAAATTCAAAGTAAACATCATTACATAAAAGGGTACGGTCTTTTTTTTTTAGTTTTATTCATTTCAAACGGGCCGGATTCGGCCAGAGGGCCGTAGTTTGCCCACGGCTGTTCTAGACCCTGAAACAACACACCCTACCCTGACTGTCTCTGAGGATAAAAAGTGTGTGTGATATACAAAGAGAATGCAAGACGTTCCTGATTTTCCAAAAAGATTTACAGTCAACACAGTTGTCCTGGGGTTTCCATACTTTCATTCCGGCAGGCATTTCTGGGAGGTAGACGTGGGAGACAAGCCCAAATGGGAGATCGGGGTTTGCAAAGATTCTGTCCACCAGGTGGAGGAGCCCGTCGGCCTGTCGGGGATGCTGGCGGATTAGGCGGCAGGGGAATAGCTATGCTGCCCCCGGAGCTGGCACCATCCCTCTCTTGTCTGAAGTGAAGCCCAGAGGCATCGGCATTTTCCTGGACTATGCGATGGGGGAGATCTCATTTTATAACATGACTGACAAATCGCACATCTATACTTTCACTGACACTTAATCGACCTCTTAGGCCTTATTTCTATGTAGGGCCTGACTCAAAACCTCTTAGGATCTCTATAGGAACAGACTGAATGAAAACTTTCTAAGAGACTGGACCAATTTAATAATTTTTTTTTTACATGGAAGGTGTGTGTGAATACAATAGTGGGTATCATATTTTTTTTTTAAATATATTTTATTGATTTTTTACAGAGAGGAAGGGAGAGAGATAGAGAGTTAGAAACATCGATGAGAGAAACATCGATCAGCTGCCTCCTGCACATCTCCCACTGGAGATGTGCCCGCAACCCAGGTACATGCCCTTGACCGGAATCGAACCTGGGACCTTTCAGTCCGCAGGCCGACACTCTATCCACTGAGCCAAACCGGTTCCGGCAGTGGGTATCATATTAATATGAGAGTAAATCTAATCCCCCTTCAATGGAAGGTGAAAGGGAGAAATGGTGGTCCTGTTAAACACATATGTCAGGAAGAAAGTTTCATTTTGTTTCAACAACACTGGACAAGATCTGAGGATTGTCCAGGTCCCACTGCACTCTTGGTTCAAGCTCTACCCAGTGCTTGGGATCTTCTGTAGCCGTTTACTTCGCTTCTTTACTCTTGAATTGGCCTGGGGTTCCTAAATCCCCCTTCCCCTCCAGGGTATTCTCTGACCTGGACTCCTATGGTACCTTTGGGCTCTCTGCCTTATTTCACTGATCCTAAAGGGCAGAAATCCTAGTCCTCTGTAAGCTACAAACCAGGGTCTGTCTTAGTTTTTTTAGATGCACAGTATTTGCCTCCTGAATAGCATGCTTAACATTTAAATTGCTTTTGTGGTTTTTCTGTTTTGCTAGACCTGGTGTTTAGTTTCATTATTTTATAGTTTGCAATGTTCATTATTGTGTTTAAAAAGAGTGTTGCTGGTCACCCAGCTGACACATTGGAACCTGAGCATCCTAATGTTAACTACAACGTTTTCTCTGTAAACCAAAGTTCATCCCATAAACCTTAGAAACAGACTACATCCAAATGGAATTTAAAAATAAATAAGAATCAATCCATCTACCATCAGTGTTTTCCTTTTGAAAAAGAAATCAGCTGGCAGCAAAGTTTACAGACTCTTTCAGAACACAGAGACAGATTTTCAGAGAAGGCAATGGTTTGAGACATACTTACTAAAAAGGAAGGATAAGCCCTTGCTGGTTTGGCTCAGTGGATAGAGCTTCGGCCTGCCAACTGAAGGGTCCCAGGTCCAATTCTGGTTAAGGGCACATGCCCGGGTTGCAGGCTCAATCCCCAGAAGGGGGCGGGCAGGAGGCAGACGATCAATGATGTTTCTATCTCCCTCTCCCTTTCTCTCTGAAATCAATAAAAACATATTTAAAAAGAGCGGGGGGGGGGGGGAATGGAATGGGAAGGGGGGACAGAAAACTTGGAGAAGACACCCAGGATTTTCACAATACAATTTGGCCTTTTAGTTTATTAATCTCATCATTTTGGGGATTCAATGGATGGTCTGCAGGTGACACCAGAACTCTTAGAATGCCCCCACAATGGCCGCATCTAAAAGAAACAGGTGTTTGCCCTCTATAAGTAACAGTGTGTGTGACATCATGACAACATCCCCTGTCAGATACTTGTGTCTTGGTTAAGCGTTTTCAAACCAAATATTGATTATTCCACTAAATACCCCCCAAAAAATTAAGAGTAAATAAAAAATTAGCAGACATTATCACAGATATCCCCTCCCCCTCATGTTAAGCTTTCAACCAAAAGTCTTCCTAAGGCAGCATGTTAAGGCCCCAAGGGCAAACTGATAAAGAGCACAGTACGAAAACTGCAGAAGTAATGCCATTTATTCATTAAAATGATTCACTTTATTTTTTAAAAATATTTTTATTGATTTCAGAGAAGAAGGGAAAAGGGGAGAGGGAGAGAGAAAATCATTGGTCAGTTGTCTCCTACACCCCCCACACGGGGATCGAGCCCACAACCTGGGCATGTGCCCTGACCTGGAACTGAACCGTGACCTCCTGGTTCATATAGGTGGACCCTCAACCATTGAACCATGTTGGCCAGGCTCAAAATACCTCAATTTATCCGGAGAATTACCTAAGTTTAATATCAGTATAGAAGTTGATAGGGCATTTTATTTTTAAGTCTGATCCAAGACTAAAAGAGGTGTCCTTTCTTTTTAGACAAAGCCACAGAAGACCCCTTTGCTATCACTGAACTTACTGATCCAGTGGATCCAGTGAAGGTATACTAGTATAGTCAATACTGAAGTGCATGGCAACTTCCTGAAGAGGGCAAAAATAAAGAGAAAGTTTAAAGTGTTGCCAGTAGAAGGTGCTGTAGAGGTAACAGACAACAATGGTTAGTCTAACACTGATCCAAGTAATCTTCATATCTTATTTCTGGAGATTGAAAAACTGTAAGAGTTTGCATGGTAAATCACCTAGTGAGAATTTGATCCTACAGTGAGAAACCTCTTTATAAATGCTACAAGGGCCAAGCTGCCATCCAATACTACACAAGCATATAAACTATATGAGAAGGCTCCATTGGAGGAATCATTAACACAAGAAATGTCTTTCCTCATCAGTTTAAGAGTGGAAAGAACTTATTTGACCAACTCCCTGTTTTAAATACATTAGCATGCCAGTCTCACTCTATAAGTAGCCAAATTATCAATAGGATTCTCACGTCATGTGGAAGAAGTGTTGGCGCAGATGTTTAAGGTTTACCTTTGGTCCTAGGATAAACCAGGCAGTTAAATAATTTCAAAATGTGTAAAACAGATATTCTTGAGATATCAAGGCTTGACAAATCACCATCACGTAATCCACAAGCTCTACATATTAAATAGCCACACAGGTGAGAACCAAATTCAGGTACTCTACAAGAGTGGTAAAATGTCACTCGGCAAAAGCTGCCATTTTCTATGACAGTTTGTCAGGTGGTCAGTCTTGTATTAGCCTGGATCACTCTGCAATTGCTGTCTTGACCTTGAACTCTCACATTCGATTTGAATGAGAGCCTAGGTCCGAGGAAGTGAAAGCCAACAACCGCTTACTCAACAGTGCATTGTGTCTCTTCAGGTATACTATTATGTCTCCTTGCTTTTCAATAATTTCTTCTAAACTTGAAATAGTCCTACAAAGAATCAAAATATTAATGGGTTACACATATTCACCAATACTCATTAGTCTCTTTGCAAATGGGTCCCAACCAGTTGAAAACTGGTGAAAATACAGAATATTGCATTTGTTACCTTTTCGTAGATATTGTAAGCCAGGGCAATATCCCAAAATGAGATTCTTTCATTTGACTGGGCTTTACCACAGCTGAAAGGAAGTAGCATCAAACCTAATTCTAGCTCTGGCCCATATTGCTCAGTGAATAGAGCTTCAGCCCACACAGCAAAGGGTTGTGTACCTGGGTTGCAGGTTCCATCCCTGGCCTGGGTCAGGGCACATGTGGAAGGCAACCAATCCATGGGTCTCTCTCACATTGATGTTCCTCTCCCTCTCCCTCTCACTCCCTCCCTTCCACTCTCCCTAAAAATAAATGAAAAAATATCCTTGGGCGAGGATTAACAACAACAACAACAAACCACCCACAGACCTAATTCTAAAGGCACAAATGCACAGTAATAATCTCCAAGTAGAATGGTTTCTAGATTTTGGTGGGGTGGGGGGTGGGAGGGAGGAAATTATTTCTCTTGCAACTTTTATTCCCCACCCAAAGCTTACCTGAATCCTGTCTCTGACGTAATATTGCTAGGGTAAGCATGGACTTTTTCTTCTTCAAGTATATCAGGCTGTGGTTTGGCTTTATTAAATTTTCGAACCTTCACTAAAATAATAAAGTCATTATTGTCAGGTTATCTAATTATAAAAAATACTTCTATTTCCATTCTTTCAAATTACATGAATTGGCTATTTTCAAAAAAAGTCATATCATAAAAATGCTTCACAAAGAGAATCAATAGGTTCGTTGTTGTTTTTTATGTACTCAACCATTTGACAGTTTATCATGTGCCAAGCCTGTACTAAGCACGGGGAACACAGTGATCATTGCTATTATTGATAATAATAACCGGGATTATTTTTTTGTGGACTAAAAGCACAGAAGGCACAGGGGGACTATTTTACTGGAACTCAATCAGTTCTCAGAACCTCCCCCTTTGGTGGGTGCTTTTATTACTCCTTATTTTCTACAGTCAAGTAAAGTGCAGTCCAAGGAAGCTGGACAAGTGGCCAGGGCTCGAATCTGGGAAGCAGGGCTCCAAAGCCTCCTCTGTGGACACTACCCTATAACAAGAGCTACCAGCCCAGATAAAAATACAAATAAATCTACATTCCAGAACAGGATAAAAAAGGACCATAAAGCAGAGCTTGCAGCCCTGGAAAGCAGCCCCTTACTCAGTAGGAATGATATGCAGGTGGGGGGAGGTTCAGAGAGGAGGAAACCCGAAAGAGTGGAGAAGGTGTTTTTTGGGGCGGGGGGAGAGGGGAGGGGAAGAGCCAGAACAAATTAGGATCCTGAGAAGGGAAGTGAGTGAGTGAGGATGTGTGTGAGAGTGTGTGTATTTTTTAATGAAGTATATACTAGTAAAAGTTACACTAAGGTGATTAGCTTTAACACAGAACAAGATAGCTTTAGGAACAAAAAACAACAACAACAAGCTATTTAACAAGGTAATATTTCAGCGTCCTAAATTTTCCATCTTCTGTCTTGAAGGAGGTGGTCAAGATTACACTTTTAGTAGAGTAGGGGCTTGGATGCCGCTAGCCCACCCAGAAAAACTCACTGCATATCAGCTGAACTAAAAATATTTTTTACAAATAACTCAATGAGCACTAGCACAGGGTTTAAATATCTGGCAAACATTTTTCAGGGGGATTATGCAGGAGGGTTAAGTTAAATGCTCTACTGTGTGTGTTTCACTGTCAGACATTCAAAGCAATGCCCTATAGGGTGAGACAGAAAGCCTACCAAGGTCATCAATCAACTGAGAGCTTTAAAAGAGAAGAGACAGAGGTTCTTAAATGATTTATCCCAAAGCAACGTTGGCCTTAATGCA